TATTGAACTTATGTGTGGTTATTAAACATCTGCTAAAACAAAAACCTTTTTCCCCTCACAATGTGCCTGGCCTAAAACAATAAATAACACCGACACTATAGATGTTCATACATCTTTTTTGAGCTCGATTATGTTTACTAAACTCATGTGATGTGGTCATTGAATTTTATGAATGAGATCTAAAATAATTATTCATTATCGATACATTTTGTTTATTATTAATACAGACTTAAACCCTGAGCGAGATAATATATTTGATGTGAAAAGGTAAGAACAAGCTTAAAATTAAGGTCGTCAGTCATAAAAGAACAGTTTCATCGCAAAAAAAAACACAACCGGACAATTTACTAAATTTTTTATTTTGCAGAACGAACCAGAGCCCAAAAGATATGGTTTGTATTAAATAAAAATACCAACCATTCAAATTACGTTCAAGCCAGTGTTAGTAAAAAACATTACAGAAAGCTTAAACAATTTAAAACTATTTAAACTTGAGCTATACTTTTAGCGGCCACAAATGTGTGCCACCATTTTGATCAACAAGAGCATAAGAGCACTTGGGGAATATTATGATTGTCAAAGGCAAGTTTACTCATACTTACATTTCCTGTTATACGTTCTTCTTATTCTTCCTATTCATCGCCAGTGAACTTTCTTGAAATACAAAGAAAATTTCTCTGTTCTTGCCCGCAAGAAGACGTGGCCACATGTGTATAGATTTTCCAAATCGAATGTAGCGATCACCAAGCAAATCTTCGCGCATGCTCAGACGTTTGACCGCGGTGGATCCTGATACAGTCTATCATTTATTAGTGAAGAATAAATACGGGAGGGGAGGGAGGGCGCTTAATAGAAAGCGGGGCTTGTTAACTTTCTTCCCCTATAAAGGGGGGGGGGGTTTATTAGAGGGAGGGGGTTTATTTGAGAGGGGGTGCTTAATAGAGGATTTTTGGTATTTAACTAAGGTTAGCCTCTGCGGCTCTGCCTTGACACAAAAGCCCCTTCCAACTCCCCTATGAGAAACGTCTCCTAATAATGGCAGGGCTCGTCCCAGACTTCCTGATTTCACTTTCGCTTCGTTTCCCTTATTCGTTTCCTTGAATCATCTTGAATATTGATTCCTTGCCTCAAGACAAGAGTTCTATTATAAGACTGACTGCTCATAGCATTACTTAATGTATAATACGAGGTGTTGACTGAACACTTTTCAGTTATTTGAAGACAAATCAAGCTTGCACTGACCGTGAACGTTGTGGAATTGAAGGAAAGAAATGGTAAAAGGAAGTACAAACAGTGTAGACTGCTTGAATCTTCGATTCGATTCTTGAACTAAGGTAAGGGTATGTTTTATCCTTTTCTGTCGTCTTACTGGCAGCACTCCTGTATAAACAAGTTACATTAGAACTTGCTAGTGTCAGTCTTTAATGTGTGTTGTTAACAGATCAATGTTATGTGTTTGACAGGAAATAATTTAAGCCACTTATTGGGCTATTGCATTTAGTTAAGCTTGTTTATACCCTCTGGTTTAAGGAGAAGTGGAATTCTTAAGGGGTCAGTTATAAAAATCCAGGATTTCTCGAAGTGTAGAGTAAAAAAATTCGGAATTGTACAGATAAGGCTAAATTACAGAGCTGCTTACAATCGTATGATATGTACTAATATAGATAATAAATCGCAAAGCTGCTTAAAAGTTTACTGACTAACAACAACGAATAATTAAAAGTAATAAAATCTGAGTGCACTTGGTTTTACAAATTGGGTGCAAGCGGTCACTAGCTCCTCAGTGACCTCAGATGATACTTATGCTCAACTTCCTCCAGTTTAGGGAGAATGAAGTGTAATGGGTAGTTTTTTTTTTCTGTAATCTAGCAATGTAGACCGTGACACAGGTGGATCCGTCCCTCATTCAACGTCGTGAAAGAATGTGTAGATGCATGTAATGCCTCATTGTAATCGTGCGTGGGAAATATTATACGCATAGCCCTCTTTTGAATGCTCTCGATTTTAGAAGCCAGAAATTCAGGTATGTTTTGCCATATGGGGACAACGTATTTTAAAACTGGGCGAACAATAGTTACAAACACCTTAGCTAGAAAAACTGGTGGATTGCCACATTGCTTGATAACTCTGAGAGAGTAAAGCCTCTTATTTGCCTTTTTAATTATGTACTCTATGTGATGGGTCCACTTAAGATCATTGCTAATACAAACTCCAAGCAGCTTGGTGAAGCTTAAATTTCCACAAAATTCTTCTGGGTTAGAACCATATTCTTTTGGGGGTAGGGGAGAGTGTTCATTCCCTTACTTGGCTTAGATGGATAACTGTGCTGCTGAACAGGGTGTTGTTTTGTCTTAAGAAATAGGGGTTTGCAATTTCACTGTTTGGCATCTTCTACATGGTGCGGTTTGGACCTGAAGCCTGTAAAGAGTGTGAAGGCTGCATGATATTTGTTTTTAGAAATTACCTGATTATGCTTGCAAAATGAAATGAATTAGGGCCTTTAAATAAGGTCTCTTGTCTTAAACAAGGTAGGGGAATCAGGGTACAAAGAAAGTCAGTTTTACAGCTTGCCATTCAGGCAAGCTGCAGGTAGCATGTACTAACCTTAACGTAATTTTCAATATTGAGCCCAAAAATTTTTTTTGATGAGCAGGATTGATTACGCCAGTTCTTATGTAATTTGAATTTCCTAAAAAACTTCACTTGCCTATTAGGCAAGTTTTAACTTGCCTTAAGAACAGAATTCACTAACCCGATAGCAAAATCTACCTGTTGTGGGCTATCGGACATGACTTTCTTTGCACACAGTTGGAAGTGAGAAAGGGTCAGGTTTTCGAAGGCTTCAGCGGCACACCTCTATATGCCTAAACTTGTACAGACTGCATGTACTGCAGTGGTGATAAGATGTGTTCAACTTTTGCTTTTGATATAACCTTGATGTTTTTTCTTGCTTAATTGCATTGTCAGCATTTTATATTTTCAATGGTGATTCCTACAATTTTTTGACAACTACATCGACTTTTTAAGTTGGCAAGGGAAATGGAAAATTGGTTTGAAATATTGGAATTGAAATATTGAATAAAGGTGACATGCATTGAATGACAACTGATTATGATGCAAGGAGGCTGCAGACCACAACAGCCTAACACTCTTACAGGTCAATGTACATACTGTCTTTATTTACAAACAAAATTATATTTTCTGTAAATTAGCAAAACAACTACCCGTACTTTATTGATAAACAGTGTGTGTTAATTTTGCACAAACTTTACAGCATATAGAGCTGTACATGTAAAGCATTTTCTTCCATTTACATACTGTACCATTAATTTTTTAAAAGCCCAAAGTGAGAAAGTTCACTCAGCTAAAATAATGGAGGAAATACTCTTACCTCTTTTCAATTCAGAAACTCTTCTCTAAGGTGTCTGAAATAATTTTTGATTTGTGGTGAGTGTGAAACGCTAGTGACTGGTGATGAAGTTGCAAGGGGAAAATAATAATAATAAGGTCTTTATATAAATACTACTAAATACATGCTAAAAACTAATTGCTACTTTGTCTTTTAAAAAAGCCTATTTGTTTTTTTTTATTAATCAGACAATTATTAAGAAGATATTAATACAGGCCTCAGAGGCCCCACTCTATAACTTCAAAACCGATCATGGTACTGTCACCAAAATTACACAGAATAATGTACTCTTCATTTCATCTATGCATAATTTGATTGACTCAGTTATGGAATATGATGTCATTATGACATCATATTTGTTTGTTTATGGGCAGAAACCAAAATTGCATCAATTTCTCCCGTCAAAGCGAAAAATTCTTAAATAATAAGATGTCTGACAAAATCGAGAAGTTGGTCAATGCATTAATGACCTTTAACAATAGCAGTAACATCATGATGACATCATTTATGGTTAAAGAAGGATCTAGAACCATCCGCCATCTTGGATCCGCCATTTTGAATTTTTAAAAGGTATTCAAATTACTTAAAATACATAGAAGTTGAGGTATTCATGATAGAAAAAATGTTCTGTGTATAAAAGTATGCTTATGAAGCAAAAAGCCGCAAGTTGTGAAATTCTGAGAGAAATTAAGACTGTTAGAACTGCCATTGGGCCATTTAAAATTCATGTTTTTTCTCAAATCAGTCACCAAAAAGGCCGGATTAAATTTGATAAAATATTACTAAATTAAAGGTTATAATTGAATGAGTAAAACTAGAAATTAAACCGTTTTTGTATGAAAGTAAAACATGGCTGTCAAAACTTGGTTGCCATGGTAATGTCAATGCTGACATACACGTCACAGCGACTTTAAAATGTCCCCAGATAGTGTTTAGGAAAACTCGCTAAGTTTGGAGGTCATAGCTTGAACAGTTATTCAACCTTTTTTGCGAGGGGGGCCTCAAAAGCTCCCCCAAGTCTGAATAGGGTTAAAGCAGCACTGTAGAAAATACTTGACCGTTGTTAACTCAGGTGTAGAGGACACGTATTTAGGAAGACCTTAAGTTAGTTTTGGTAAAACTTATTGATTTAAAATGTAATATGCATCTGGTTGTTGGTACTTATAATCCCTCTTTACAACCATCGGTCCAGAAAAATTGTAACAATCACCATTGAAAAGATAATAGGCTGACTAGAAAACAAAATGCCAAGGGATATAAAAATGCGAACGTTTAAAGATTTAATTCTTGCTTCTAGGGCCTTGTAGTATAAAGATAAGTAGCCATGTCTTCATCATTAGCTCTGCAAATTAATAGTTTTGGGGGTGTGAGTTAATATCTACTTATGTTCATGTATTAACATCATACATATGAAGAAAATTATGATCGCCAGGGTAAACTGCTTTGAATTTCAAACATGAAGTTCTCTTCATCAATACCATAGTAAGGCATACGTAGCACAGTAAAGGGAATTTGTATTTTTATATGAGGGCTTTAAAAGATCTAATGGATTATCTTTTCCCTTTTATTTTACCAATGACTGTTAAAAAAGATGATGGTCTCTGATGAAGATAAAAGATGGCTTGTTGTGGGTATCGCGATGAACAAAGTTGCTGCTCCTGTTTTGCGGGATGCTATCAAACAAGGAATGGACACTAACTATACAGATCTGGAGAACCACTGTCAACATTTGACCCCACCTTGTACTCTTAAGAAATTAACTCATCGTCTAGTCCGAGCAGATCCCATCTTTGCTCGACTGAAATTTCAAAATATTAACAATAATGAAAATTTATATGGAAAGCACTCCAGTAGCTACAACTTTAACATTAGTGACTCCATAGATTTGGCGAAGTTATATCTGCCAGATTATCTGGCTCAGTTTTCAGCATTTGATGAGTCAATGGACATGACTGCCATCCTTCGTCTGTTAGGGTTTAAGAACTACACCCCTACCGCTGTGTTCTCCCCACACATCCAGGCCTCAGCCAATGATGTCAGAGAAAAGGTAAGAAACAAGTGGGGCCATGTTGATGTAACTGAGTGGACAGATGCCCTGTTCAATGATTGCTTTGACAAGCTGGAGGCATTGGTGAGGAGTATAGGACTGTCAGCTTGTGTGGAGAAAACAACATTGGATCAGCTTTATGAATGGCAAACAAAAGGTTATTACACCTACACAAAATAGAATAAAAATTATCATATTCATTGGAGGCAGACACTAAAGAAAATTTTGCTCCTGCAAACATCTAAATGTGGTAACTGTTCATCACTAGTATATGTCAAGTACATGACGGAAATTCGTCATGTGTAATTGTAAAAATCTGATACCAATTGCAACATTTCAGGAGGAGCCATGCACCTTTATTGTGTGTACAGTAATTGTTACAGTATGTACGTATGTATTTACTAGGGAAAACAATTTCAAAATAGATGTTACCTATAGTGGAACCTGTTATTAGGGCACACCCTCGGGACCAAGGAAAGTGTCTCCTGAATAGAGGTTAGGTCTGGGATTTGTTATTAATTAACCTACAAATAAATATTATTCTTTTATTCTGCCTCGGAATTTGCTCCCACAAGTGCATTACACCCCCCTGATTGGTTTAAGTGAGTTAGTCCATGTCGTAAAAGTTGCCATCTTTGTGATAAGTGTACCCTTAAACTTATCAACGATTTTTGTGGTCAGTCACTTTGTTAGTGCAAAGTTGTCCACTGAATGGAGGTTAAACCCAGGTTTAGGGACCCAGAAAGAGTGCCCCTTTTCCCCTGAATAGTGGTGTCCCTTCTATAGGGGTAACAGATACAAAGATTATGTGAACATATTTCGGGGACAAAATTGTTTTGTGTCCCCTGAATGGAGGTGTCCCTGGAATAGTGGTTTGTCTCAAAGGAGAGGTTCCACTGTATTTTGTTGATACTCACATGCACAATAAACGCTTCATTTATTTTTTCTTTTTCTTTTTTAAAGGTTGTCAGTTAATCTTGGGACATGCTGTGGACAGGGATCTTCTCCTTTTGGTACAAGGCGAAGTAAGAGGTCTGATCAAGGACTACAACACCTTTGAAAAAAACCTTGCCACCCTTAGAAATCAAGAGAAGCGTAAAGCAACGGCTTTAGATGAACATCACAAACGCCTTGAAGCGCTGGAAGAGAAGCTACAGGAGGCATCAGAGAATAGAAGTGAAGAAGTTAAAAAAGTTTTAGAAAGACTTTTGTCTTTCGAAAGGCAGTTATCGAAACGACTTCAAGTGGTAGAAGAAAAAGTGGATCAACTAGACCAAACAGTAGAACAGCTGAAGCACAGTCATACAAAGACAGCTGGTGAAGTAGAACTGCTAAAATACCGCCATGCTGAGACTGCTGCAAAAGTAGATCAATTGGGTCAAAGATGTGCTGGAGTGGAGGAATTCAGGATGCAAATAAAAGCACAGAATGACAAACCAGGTAAACTAAGTTTGTGATCCCATGAACAATGACCAATAACCTCTCATTATTCAACATATGATCTCTTTTCGACACTTTTTAATTTAGCGTGATTATTAATACATTTACCGTATTTTATACTACAGCTAACTTGTGCGCTCCTCGAAGTTGTTTATTGCTTTGTTGTCAGCAAGCCATGTTTTAGGTATCTGTGCATAGTTTACACTCGCTTAAGGTGGCGGTGGGTGCTCAAGGAAAAAAATCAAGCCAATAAACTAGGCGCTGAGTGGATTCACTAATGGTGGCAACGTGGAGTCAATGTATTAAACGGGAGAAAAGATCGGTTTTTCGGTGGGTGGCGTTCGGGGCCTCGATGATTCCTGTTGCGTAAGGTCGCATTTGTTGAGGACGGACTCGTGATCAGTGAAATGTGGACTAGTGTGTACAGTCAAGTTTTACACAGTTAGTAGGTCTTTCATTATTCCGAGTAAGTCGGAGTTAAAACCTAAGTGACCTTCTTCGTCAGATTTTGCTTGTGAATCAGTTTTTCATGTTATTTAATAGTACAACTGTATCAACCAGTGTTGTCAGACGCAGATAATTAGCCGTATTACTGATTGGATTTCTTTCTCTTTCAGATGCATTATCTTTGAAAACTTTCGACCTGAATTCCTGTCGAAGCAAACTACAAGATCATTACCAAAAAACAGCAACTGTGCCCACCTCTGTCTGGTGTAAGAAATCTGTAGTTGACATTCACCAGATCTACACTCGACTGTCCTGGGTGAAAGAGGAACAAACCCCAGCTGGAACAAGACAGTCTGAGGTGGAGCATTACAGTGATCTTTTCATTGCAAACAAGAAAGGTGTCATTCCAAAGAGAATACTCGTGCAAGGGCAGACGGGAATTGGAAAGAGCACGTTTGTGCTGCTTGTAGACTGGGTTGAAGTAAATAAGGAGACTGGTGATAAGCAAACATCTGTCCTAAAGAACTTTGAGCTTGTGGTTGCTGTTAACCTCAAGGAAGTGTCCAAATGTCAAAGCCTTGAAGACGTCATAAGAATGTCCAGTGTGTTTGCAAATGAGGACAAATATATGACAGATGGCCTGATTGAATATATCACTAGCAACCAAGAGAAAGTACTACTGATCTTTGACGGCTACGACGAATACCGTCATGGATGCAACTCAGAAATTTACGAGATTTTTCGTGGAAGCAACCTGAGAAGCTGCTGTGTGTTGATAACAACTCGAATTTCTAAGGCTGACGAGCTACGAGGAGGTGAAGACCTGCATGCCGAAATCACGGGGTTTAGCAAAGTGGACATAGAAACCTTTATGCGAAGGTTTCTTACTGAAGATGAAGTGCACCACTTACACCATCATTTACTTCATAGCAACCTGTTAGAATTGGCGAAAGTCCCTCTTCTTCTCCTTTTTTTCTGTACTCTGTGGAAAAGAGGAGAGGCAAAGGTCTTTCCTGAGTCTAAAACAGATTTGTATACGAACATCATCCAGTTCATTATAAATCACAGCTATCGCAAGCGATCGCCGCCTCGCTATGTTGACTTACAATCTTCCAAAGAGATCCTCTCAGAAATGGGAAAAGTTGCTTTACAAGGTCTTCTGAATGATGATCATTTGTTTGAATACCGTCAGTTGTCCGATGCTGTCTTTTGTGACGAAAGCGTCTTCATCGGTTTGCTTCAAATCACCGAATACTCAGAAACCTTGCAACCAGTTGGAATGGTCTCCTTCATTCACAAGAGCATACAGGAGTTCCTAGCCGCTTGGTACATCATCTACAAATGTATACCTGAGGACGGAATTGTTAATGAAATCGGAGTGAAGTTAGAGAAATGCTTGGCTTTAGAGAATGTATTTCAGTTTATGTGCGGCCTGAGTGAAGATGGAGCATCGATGGCTTTCATGCATTTAAAGTCTGTCAGAATCTCAGATCCTTCGTTGGATTTATCCAAGGCAGTCCCGGACGTGGAGAAAGAAACCGACGTGCCACTGAGTGACGTCACTGACCGTCAGCAGAATTTCAACGATCTGGTTTTGAATTCGTTTGAAGAAGTTAAATCAAAAGCTGGACTTTCAGAAACTTGCTTGGATTGTCTCGGGAGTATTTTTCTCTCTCATTCACATTATATGACATCATTTCCTGAAGAACTTCTTATAAAGCTAAGAGATGCAAGCACCTGGTCTTTTATTTTTGAAGGAAGAGAACCAGTGAAAACTGAGAGGAACCAAGTTCAAATGCAACTTGATTGGGCGACTTATATCGCTCAGCGAGTTACTGAAAGTTCTGAAATTCAAAATTTAGAAAAATTTCTGAGAGATTTTCTAAATATTAATTTTTTTTGTTTTTGTGGGTTTTCTGCAGTCTTTAGTAACCGTAATGGCCAGGTCTACTTTTGCATCAAACACTTGGAAATGACATGTGATCTCCACGCCAAGCTAATTACTGAGAATTTTGCTTCTTCTCATGCAGCTCATTCAAGTTTAAGACAGCCATGTCTGAAATACCTGAAAACTCTAAAGTTTTTCAAAGTTGGTGATTCAATGAAAGGCCCTTCCATCGATCCATATAAAGACCCTCTTTTGTATCCTTTTTTGGAGCAAGTACCAAATCCTTGCAGGTGCACTTTGTCTATCGAGCATTTTGTCTTAACGTCAAAAGAAGCGGTGAAGCTTGCATCTTTGTTACCAAAGTTTGAAAACATCACTAATCTTGACCTTAGCCTTGCTGTTTGCTCTGCTGAGTCAGTAACAAAATTGGTTGCCGCTATCAAGCACAAGACTCTCGTGGCTCTAATACTGAGTGAAATCCACCTGACTTCAGTAGTAGTCGATGCGCTCGGTCAGTCACTGCCTGAATTATCAACACTACGAACACTGAGAATAAGTGGCTTGAATGTATGTTCTAATGAAGCAGCAACGAGACTGTGTTCCGCTATCAAGAACAAGTCTCTTGAGGAACTGGAATTGAGAGACGTCAACCTGACGTCAGCGGCAGCCCAGGTACTTATTAGTCAGTCGCTTTCTAAATCATCAGCCTTACGAACACTAAAAATAAGTGGCTTGGCTAAATGTTCTGATGAAAAAGTAACATTCATTCTGATGTCAGCAGTAGCCAAGGCGCTTGGTCAGTCACGTGAATTGCCAGCCTTACAAACCCTTGAGATAAGAAGCTTGGATGAAAGCAGGTTTCTCGTACGGTTTATTCCATGCGTTTTGCAGTTTGAAACGCTGGAGATAGGTGGCTCGAGTGAATGTTTTGCTAAAGAAGTAACAAGATTGTTAACAGCTCTCAAGGACAAGACTCTCAAGAAACTGAAACTGAGTAAAATCATGCTAACGTCAGTAGTAGCGGAGGCGATTGGACAGTCGTTGCCGGAATTTTTAGCCTTAGATTCATTGGAAATAAGTGGTTCGGATGGATGCAGTTTGCAAGATAAAGAAATGGAGGCTCTGTTTGGCAGAATTAACAGACCTTCTCGTCTGGTAACTCTAGTAATTGATCATTTCAGCCTGAGAGGAAGCCTTTCTGTAGTCACCCAAAACCTGCACTTCTTCCCCCGCTTGAAATATTTAGACCTTTCTGTAACCGTGGATGAAGCTGACCTTTTTGGTCTTCTCGAAAAACTGAAATTGCTCCCTGAACTAGAACATCTGACCCTGAAGGGTATTGCACTGCGCCACTCAATGAGGTCAATGGTCCCACTATTGCTAAAACTGAAAAAACTTGAAATGCTGTGTTTAAAGACAGAAGATTTTTCAAAAGAAGAGCTGTGTTATGTCCGAGATGCCTTCAAAGGAAAACTCTGTCAGCTGACAATTGAAGTAGCAAATTATGGTAAGTTGAGTCGACACCTGTAGATATTACGTTAACCCTTTAAGCCGCAATATCCATAGACAACTTTTCTAGAATGATCTCCATACATTTTGTCAAATAATTAGTTGAGAGAATTTGTTCAGTAGATCAAAGGATTTTCCCTTCGGTGATCACTTTATTAAATCTCATACCTAATCACTTGATTATTTAGCAATTAATGAATTCCGCTTTCGTAGGATATGAAGAATTAAGCAGATCGAGGACGGTGTTATCCACAGAGGCCGAATTTATTTATTATTTGTTATTATTATATTATTTATTTATTATTATTCATTCAAAATAATTCCTAGTTTAAAAACAGAGCTAAAACAAACCTACCAGCCTCGATGTTAAGTTTATCTTCGATGGTGTACGTTTAGGTTTGTCCAGCTCCGCAAATTTTCTCCAAATAGCAGATGTCGCCCTCCGAGTTGTATTCTTGCTGTTTTTGCCATGTTTTTAGCCATTATTTCGCCTAGTTCCAGCTGTAGTTCTTACTCTTTAAATGAGTGGAGTGTCCACCATTTTAGTTTTCCCAACGAAAACAACTCAATCTCGTCCCCAGGTCTTCTCGATTATCGGTGCATTAACCTGTAGAAGGCTGCATTTTTGACGTCATTTCCTCGTTAAACACAAAATTCTTCCAAATTTGGTCATCAGTAACTGGTTATGGTCAATTATGCATATGCTTTTAGCCAATCAGAATTGGGGAAATATTTGGATGAATAATAAGTATTTATATTGTTGGGAGAAAAATGATGTTGCGACTTAAAGGGTTAATTCTTTCGAAGCTGTATACATGGAAAGTGCGGGCGTACGGTATTTACGCACGAGTTGTCGACGTATCAGAAGTCGAACAAGTGAGGGGGGTCAGTGAGACCTTCTGATACAAAACAACGAATGTGTGAATACTGTACAAAATCCTCTGTGTGATATAGTGTTTATATTTCTGTCTGAGCCCAAGTTATCTTCTTTTTCCGTGCGAAGCTAGGCGCGAAGAGCCTCGCGAAAGCGACATTTAATATCGCTTCTCGTCGGCCGTATGTTCTTCAGATGCGACGAAATGAGTTAAAATTGAATTCTTGATAAATACAGCTCTACCAGCTTAAAACAGCGTCTACGGGCAGAATTCATGGGCAAAACTGTTAAAGATATTAATTTTAAGGGAACGTTTAACAATTGGTGTCGTGGCCCAATTGACAACGCAATGACCTGTATTTTTTATGGTACGGGGTTCTACCCCCGCCGGAGGGAAAATTTTTTTTTGGCCGTTTTGTTTTGTTTTCCCGTGGCCTATTTTTGGCACTGTCTCGGGAAATAAACGGATATTTTTCCTTGCAGATAATTCTCAAAAAGTAGTAACATCCATGGAGCGATATATTTTGCATATTTTTTCATTTCTTCCGTTCGGTTACAGTTACATTGAATTCAACTGTTTCGTCTTCGGATAGCCGTGAACGCCATTTTCTTAGTTTGATATGTTGCCAATGAAATTTTTTGCTTTGCTTTTTAACAGAAGGAGATTCTCCAAAAGATTATTTGCGAGATTTAACTGGAGAAAACCTCCGTCAGATGTCAATCGTGGAATCTCGTGGACTCGTGAATTTCGTGCCAATTTCGCGAACGCTGAGGTACATCATGTCTTTCAGATAATCAGCCGCCACCTTTGTTCAGAGGCAGTAGTTTCACTGAAGGCCTTTGTTTTACTGTAATGCCGATTGGAACTAGCTAGCAGAAAAAGATTTATGCCTCCGCCGAGGCGTCTCTAGTAATAAAGGAAAAAGAAATTCAAAAAGAACAGTTAATAACAACAACAAATGGGGCAGAGATCAATGGAACTAGTTAATATTGACTGATACCAAAAGTAGTATTCAAGAACTACATTACAGGGTGCAAAGAAAGTCATTTTTACAGCTTGCCATTCGGGCAAGCTGAAGGTAACATTTACTAGGCGCCCAAACATCATTTCAGCTAGCCCCAAAAACTTTTTGATGAGCAGATTGATTTCACAGTTCTTCTGTAATTTGAATTCCTCATAAAACTTCACTTGCCCATCGAGCAAGTTAATTTAATAACAGAATTCACTAGCCCGATAGTAAAATCTACTAGCCCCAGGCTATCGGACACTACATTCTTTGCACGCTGACATTATTTCTAATAATAGCTGACACTTAAACTGACCCCTTGCTATTGGATATTAAAAGTAGGGGATGTAATTAACAATTACTCCACGAAAGTGCGTTGGATAAGACTGCGTTGCACACCATTTTATACAGGGGGTTTAGAGTGTCTGCGACGAGAAAGCTAGCTTTGGATATGGGATCGGGTAGAGGCCAACGAGCCGGGAAGCGGAGAGTTGGTTATAATCATGTCTGTCCAACAAGCACGAGTGGAACAATTGTTTTATTAAAATCGCCCACAAAACATGGACGAACCTCCCTTAAAACAATCTGGAAAAAACTATGGACTTTCACTTTTCATGTTATACGCCGTCCACATTTCGCGAGGAATAGATGGACTTTACTCTGTTTTACTATTTTTTTATATTCGTATCGGACGGTCCTAGGATGAGTAGGCCCTTGGGCATAAATGCAAGGCCAATGGGGGGAACTTGTCACCAAGGAGGCAAACAAACATGAGAAAACTGCTGCTGAGTTGCCGGAATTTAAGGACAAAGTTACTGAGAGAAACAGCGAGCCAGGTATTGATGAAAGGATTGCTTGGTGAGCGAGTTTATAATTTAACAAAAATGCGAAGATGGTCTAAATTCCTTGAAGACATTTTTATGATATTTTTCAGTGTCGTTTAAATATTTTAGGATACATTTTATTGAAATGAACGTTCCTATATCGAAAGTCTGCGGGAAAGTTAGAGCACCTACTTTGCAGCTGGCATTTCTAACGGAGCGGATGAACAAAGATGACTTGAAACGTAAAGTTTGTTTATAAATCTAGGTTACATTAATATATTATTTATGTAGCAACATATTTTGGTCAAAGCTAAGTACAAAAACGTGTACATTTTATTCGACGAGAACTTGACGACAGAGTTTTGTACAGATGATAATACTGAGCAGTTTAAACTACATTTTACAGAGATACATAAACAAGTGAACTCCCTGGAGAATCATCAGGGGGCCTTGTGCACCTCAATGACCCGGAGAGTTATACCAGTGGGGCTTAGGTTCTGGCAGGGTCACCCATGCTGGACAGGTCAAAGGGTAAAGGTCAGACGAAAAGTGATCCACCGGCTCCCCAGGTTGGGGGTTGGGCACTGGACTGAAAAAGTCTTTCGTTACGGGAACAGCAACGGAAGATACCAAAACAACTGGATTAATTGGCTTCCAGAGTTATTGGAAGATACAGAAGTGAAAGCCGGAAGGTAACCACTGACAGGAAGATGGAAGTCCTGAGCACCAAATCCAAGGCCAGGATAGGATTTTGAAATGTGAGGACAATGTATGAGATAGGTAAGCTCGCTCAAGTAACATCGGAGATGAAACTCTACAATCTGCATATCCTAGGAATTAGTGAGAGTACTGATAGACGGGGTCTAGAAGACTCAGAACCAATACAGGAGAGACATTGCTATTCTGAGGAAGAGATGAGAGGAGAGGACTATAGGCAGTCTGATCACGTCGAGTGGAAGCTAGTGAAAACAGCATATCTCCAGACCAGTAAAACCTGCTTGGGTACAAGAGAAAGAAAGAAGGCAGGAATGGATCACAGCAGAAACTTGGCAAGGCATTAACACCAAGAGAGACTTGACAGTTCATTGAGGCTAAGTCCGAGACGCTGAAAGAAAGGCACAAGCAGCTGTACCAATAGGCAGACAGAAAAATGAATAGAGAAAAGAGCGTTCATGGGTGACCTTGCAAACCAGGCAGGCGTCGCAGGTGGGGAATCATAACACATTTCCTGCCTCCTTGAAAACTATGAACATTACAGTAGTCTTGCATCTATATGTTCCAGATCGTTTGTTTTGGGGCTAAGTTCCATTTGCCTCTTAAGCAAATACCACTATAACATTTTAACCCGAACAATGCATTTTACATGACTAAAATCGTCGACTCGTTTTGAGAAAATAAACAAACTCGACCGCGATTTCGCCTAGTTAGCAAATTTTATCACTTGTTTTCCCTCTGAATTACCCCGTGAAATCTCTTTTATTCCATCAGCCCCTAACGGGTGTGCAAAGATCTCGGGCATGGTGAATAAGGTCTATTAGTAAAATCCAATGGTCTATTATCAATGCCGCGTTCCGATTGGTTGAGCTACTACTAGGCTATATGTTATAGCCCACTAGTAGTGAAAAGCGCCGGCTTTGAAAACCAAAACAATGGCAGGTGAATCGCGTTTTGCTAGCGAAAGTTGTTTGGTGTCAATATTTTTGACCAACTAGTTGGATTTTACTAAAACAATTATTCCTCTCGTCCTAAGGGCCTCTGAGTCAATAGCTATTGACTCAGAGCCCATTCGGGCTCGAGGAATAATTGTTAATTAGTCTAACATCCATCAAGGAAGGATATAGGGTATTATCAATATCACCTTTTGCTGATATGATGTCAACGAGACACGTGATTTGACCTCAGTAAATCTGCCAGAGAGCATAAAATGTTCTTGTGGTTAACTTGTGTGTTTTAAAAGTTACCAGTTTGCTCTTTTATTGGTTTTTCGGGCCTTAATTTCTATGTTAAATTAATTGTGACGAGTGGAAAAAAAGGGGAAAAAAATCTACTGATAGAAACTGCGCTCTTTTTGTCAGTGTTTAGGTTTTGAACAGCGTTTTTTAATCCTCTAACGTTTTCATTCGTAACATGTTTAAACGCGGACGTCATCTTAGTTAATTA